AAGCCCAGGTACCATTCGGGCTGCCGAATTATATTTTTTGTATGTTATGATCCATAAGATACCCATCCATTCAACTAAATGGCTTTTTAGTTAATTTACCAGAGTTGGTCGGGCCACCTCTGGCAAGATTGTCATTGCTGGGTACATCAACCCACTTGCTAGGTATGTAGGAATCGACCTAACCAATGCCACCCTATTGTGCCAACCCAAGAGGGTTGATATTGATGAAATGATTCACATGGGTTTGATAGTAATTCAACATGATATTTCTTGTTTGGTTATTCCTGGAACACATGTGCCTCATCCCTTGTCTGACCCTAGTTTTACTAGCCTAGAAGGCAAGACTTCTTTTCTGTTTTCAGGTACAAATGCTGATGAGGATGGTCCTTTGGACACACAGATGCCATTTCCCCTAGCGAACTCAGCTGGACCTTCCCAGTTCACTCCCGTGTTTCACTAGAACAGATGTATTCCTTAATGCAAGGAATGAATAGCCGCTTGGAGTCGATGTCCATAGAGCAAATTCGGCAAGGGGGTCGGATTGATGACCTAGCTCAGAGGGTGGATGCTATGTATCATTGGCACTCCCAACAGGGGCATTTTGCTCCCCCCTCTCCATGAGAAGGTACTCTTATGCAAATAAGTTTCCTTTTACCTTCCCCTCTATCTACTGTCCAGTGCGGACACTACCCATCATCAGTTTGGGGTGGTCGGTGGTAGTAAAGGAAACTTGTTTTGAACCATTAGATTTTTTTTAGGCATTTATTCATGTTTTTATTGATTGTCTAATTAGGATGACATGGTTTGTTTATTTGTGATTACTACTTCTACAAGTTGTGTTGCAATTGGAATGCTTGAATTTTAGGCCTCTATGGGAATCCATAAAAAAAAAAAGGAATGAATGAGTTTTATGATTGCTAGCTTGTCAGGTTGAACTATACACTATGATTTCCTGTTTTCTTTGACTGGATTCATTACCATTTCAATTGAGAGCTTTGAACCAAAAAGGGTAAACATTCTGATAAACCCTTATTTTCTTCTTTGAGTGTATCATACATTTTAAACACTCTAGAACTTGGCTTGTGACCGATTCAAAATAGTTTGTGATTGCATGTTAGGGGATGATAAAGGCATTTTAGGGCAAAAAGCTTCATATTGGCCATAGAATTTGAATACTGCATACACCATTAGTTGCCCCTATTGAGCTTTAATTGTTTATTTTTGAAAGCCTTTTGATCTAATTCTTCAGAATTTCTGAGAAATGACAAGGATGGCAACTAAATGAAAAAGGCTTAGGAAAAACTGTTCTCAATTCAAAAAAAAAAAAGGAGAAAAAAAAAGAAAAAGAGATTAGCAACAATGTAGTAAGGAGTCTCATTCAAAAATGAAAATAAATGGTACTCCTAAGAATTTTGCTGAATGAATAAGAAAATATATTTTTCTGAATGCCTTCCAAACTTGCTTTTCTCAGGAATTTCATTTCTAAAACCTTTTGACTTTTCCCTCTTTCTTGGTATCCATTCCTATTCGGTGAACCCCTGGCCCCATTACAACCAATTCAAAGCCCTTTAGACCTTAACATACTTTCTAGATAACTGTGGAGATTAGGGTCACTTTCCAAGCCTATGGTAGTGTTTGAAAGGTTTTGATTTGAGTGATACTGAAACACAAGCATAAACACATTGAGAGAAAGTAAGGAAACATGTATCTCTAGTATAGTCATAGTAAGCATGGCATGAATAATTATGTGGCTTCTACTTTGATAATCCTGCAATAATCTATTAATAATATTTTAAATTGGATTCCTTTAGTTGGTTTGAGTTCGTCATTCTTTAATACTCATGCTTGTGGTGATGGTGATTGCTTAGGGACAAGCAATGTTTTAGTTTGGGGTATTTTGATAGGTGTCTAGTTTGCATCATTTTTAATGGCGCTTTGTTTGAGTTTTCTAGTTTATTTGTGTTAGAATTTCCCTTAATTCCAATTGTTTTCCTTCATTCCACACATGTTATTCGGGTGTCTCAATTTTGCAGGAATAGCTTTGTTATAGGTTTATAAACTTGGAAACGGGAAGCATTTGATGAAGCATTGGATGGAAAGGAATTCAAGCCACTAAAAGCACAAAAATAAAACCATATCAACTCTTGGATTGCATTGTAAAAGAAAAGAGAAAAGAACACTTCAGGGCCTTAAAACATTGTTAAAGAGCATTTTGGGTGAAGTTAAGTGAAATCCACTGGCAGTGGGTTTTTCCCATTGGCCGTGGACTTCACTGGAAAATGGCATTGTGGCGTAAAATTCACTAGCAGTGGGTTTTTCTCACTGGTCGTGGACTTCACTTGAAAATGAGCATTGGGCCCCTGTCACGATCCACTGGCCGTGGGTTTTTCCCACTGGCCGTGGACTTCACTGGAAAATGAGTATTGGGCCCCTGTCACGATCCACTGGCCATTTCCCACTGCCAGTGGATTATGCACGTTTTGCATTTTCCCTGAATTAGAGAAGCGGTTTTTGAGCATAAAAGATATAAAAAAGAATTTACGAAACACGAACAGAGAGACATTTTTATCAAAAAGGGAAATTGAAGAAGACCAGAGGAAGAGAGGGAGAACGATTTCTTCTATCAAGAGGGAAATTGAAGAAGCTACAGAGAAGATAGTGAGAACTTCTCTTCTATTCTCTAACTTCTTGTCTCATTTATGCTTTTCTCTTATGTTAGGATTTGATTTATTGTATTGTGGATTGTAATCATCGTTTCTATGGCACACTAAATCTCATTCTTGGGATTAGGGGGAATATGTTTATGTATCAAATTTGAATACTTTGAATTTCTCTGTTATTGGATTTCTATTTTCTATTCATTTCCATGAGAACCTAAACCTTCTAATGGCTTAGAGATAAGGTTAGATGAATTTAAATGATGTGGATGGTTGAGAGATCAATATATCATTAGAAAAGCATGGAATTGAACCTAGGGATTTGGGTTACGAAAGTAGACAAAACTCTTTGAGGGGTAATTGGATTTTCATAAAGCGTAAAGAATCTACTTAACGAATTGAACGTTGTTCTTTGGTAATTAGGTACGTTAGTGAGGGTTTCGAGAGGAATACATTAATCAATTAAAGAAAATCCACCTTAGAAATAGAAGTTAAATAATGTGAAACAAATTGCTTTAAATTGAGTACATAACATATGAACCTACCTATTCCTAAGAAAGTTTTCACTTTGAGTCTCTTGTCAATAGTTTTTTGTTTTCTATTCATTTTGCAATATATTCTATTTGAAACGATTTGTTTGGATAATTGAATCACTGTGTACCGGTACTTGGGCATAATCTCTGTGAGAACGATAACTTTTTATTACGCGATACCCCGTACGCTTGCGGAATGACTATCACACATCAACCTACATGTTAGTCTGACCTAAGCCTATTTAGGCCTGACTTAAATAGGTCGGACCAAAATTTGTCTGATTCTATTTAGGTCATAAACTTTTTGGCCTAGTCTAGCCTATTTTTCGCACTGATTCATCAGGTTAAACCTATTTTGACATTCATACTCGTTAACCCGTTGGCTTAATAGAAGGATAGGCTAGGCCAAAAATTTTGATCCGTTTTAAAATAAAAGTTAAGCTGAACCATTACATTTTTTTTACTTAACCCATAAGGTCAGGTCAGATCATGTTGGACCGTCCGTTTTGACCGTCCTTGCCTGAAAGTAGGCATGGCAACTAGCGAGGGCGGGTTTTGCCTCCTCGATCCTCGGCCCGAATTTTTTAACCATCCTCGCACCGGCACTGTCCTTGATTTATATTATTTTTAAAAAGATAATTATATTTATAATAAATTAATTTTACTATTTTTATATATAAATAAATATTTATAATTTTACAATTTGTAATTATTAATAATTAAATATATATTTTAATTTATTATATTTATATTAAAACATGTATGTAAAAGAAATATTTTATTATTTTTTATTTATATATATAAAGAATATTTATATTTATATTATTATTACTATTATTATAACACTGTATTCAAACATTTGAATACTTATAACATTATTATTATTATTATTATTATTATTATTATTATTATTATTATTATTATTATTATTATTATTATTATTATACATTCAAACATTTGATTACATATATAAGTTAATTCATTTTTGAGTTTTCATTTAAAAATATGAAATATATAGTTTATAAGGAAATATTTGTTATGTTAATTCTTATTTAATTAGTTCAAAATAATAAAAGTTTAAATTATCAATTCTTTTAATCCTTTAAAATACAATTATTTTATTAATATAAAATTTGATACATAACAAATAAGAATAATAAGATCCAAAAAATATGACGTAATAAAACCTAATAAATATAAATTATAAATAAAATAATATTAGTTACTACTAAGATTTATGTAAAATATTTAGAAAAATAAAAAGAAAAAAATTAACTTTGTGTTTATCAAATTGGTTGAAAAGATTAGAAAAAAAATTGATCGAAGATATTAAAGAAATATGAAAAACTGAAAAGTAAAAGAAAGATAATAATGTAATAAATTAATTGATATAAAAGATTAAAAAAGATAAAAAATTAAAAATTGGGTAAAAAAAATAAAAATTGTGAAATATAAAAAATAACCTTATATGTAATAAAAAAAGAAAATATTTTTAAAATATTAATATTTTAAAATTTAAATATAAAGTCGGAGCGGAGTCGGAACGATGATTGCATTACTCATCCCACCTTCGCCCGACTTTTTAAAGAGCGGTGGAAATCCAAACTTGCTCCCGTCCTCGGTTAACTTAATTTTTTCCGTCAAATTCATAACAAAGACGGATCAGTCCCCACGAATATGAGTTTAATTGTCATCCTTACCTACATGAAAGATAACAGGAGAATTACATTTCTCACACTAAAGTAAAGTTTAAAAAACCAGTCCTTGAATAAAAAGGTAGAAAATTCTTCCATCTTAGCTTTACTTAACGTTAATCAATCTCAACTCCTCCATGGATATCTCTACTTTCATTAAGAGAAAATGCTTCTTCTCCGTCTATTGAACTGATATCCACCTTCTTTGGCCTTCCACACCCAAAATCAATACTGTAAACCTCAAACCTAGGAGATCCAAGAATAGATATTCTACCCTCCATAAATTCATTCATATCCCAAACCCATCTTTCTGCTCCATTCAACACTCCTTCATCCTTCACTCTATTCAGAGCCTCACTTATCCCCTCCAAAGCACAAGTGAATCCATCATTTCCAACCACCTCCTTAATAAAAGCCACAACCATTTGTTTTACATCGCAGTTTCCAAAATACGTGGCGGGAATTGGAGGGTCCAAGCGCGATCTACAGTCAATCTGCAATAAATAAAAACATCACTTTTTTTTATTCAAAAGTTGTATTATAATGTTGTTGGTACTAGATTTGACCTCTTCTCATTCGTGGAGGTAGACATGTTCAGATACTAAGTGGGATTAACCACGTTAAACTTTGTGGACATCATGTACATATAGAAACGATTTGTCCTCAAACTAAGCACAAAAAATGTTATTTTGGCTCTCTTGGACAATTTTTTTCCCCTCTTTTAAATTATTTCGATATTTAATATCTTGGATCATATTCATATTTAGTTTCAAAATCCAAATAACGAGTGAATACCTCTCTCTCTCTCTCTCTTCATGGATTTAGACTTCCTTTCCTCAATATAATTATAAGCATATTTTCCAGATATTGCTTGTATGAAAGGCCTAGGCAGGATAATTAGAATTGTTATCCGCAATGCAATAGTTTAAAAAGGGAGATAGCTAAGTCAATCACCTATCAAGAAAAAGTAAGACGCGTCACTAGACTGGAGAGAGTTGATAATTAATCGTGATAATTAATCGTAATATTGATGAAATATTGTCCATATGGTTTGGTTTGCAAACATGCAAGATTTTGGGAGAATATAACACAAAATTCATTACTTCTCTTGTACTCATCTTTATATGTTTATTTTATTATTACATTTGAGACTTATTTGCTAATATTTGTATTTAAATGTTTGTATTTTAAGATCAATTGGTGGAGCAAGATATATATGGATCCTTTATTCCACAAGAGCTTGAGGATATTGATGGTTGCCATTGGTCGGTCATCCAAAGCATTCGGGACGTGTTTTTGTTGTCGGATGAGAGGTGGTTATTGGACAATTCTTTGATGCTCCATCTCGACATATTGAAAAATCATAACTCATTGATGTCCAAAAGAATTATCCACTACAAGAAAAAACACTATTAGTGACCGAAAAAAGCGGTCGCTAATGGCAAAAAATCGGTCATTATTCGGTTAGTGACCGAAATTAACAACCGAAATGGGTCATCGCAAAAGGTCAAATCGCTAATTTCTTAACAACTGATTTACATTTCAGTCACAAAATACACTACAACAAAAACATCAAATAGTAACCGAATTTTCGATCATCGAGTTAGTCACTATATCTGGTCACTAACAAAAACATTAAAAAGGTAAAACTATTTTTTTATAATTCTTTTATAATATATTTTTATTATTTATTATATTTTTTAGAAATTTGAATTATTATTAGATTGAAAAAATTGTTATCGATAGGATTCGCACTCAGTACCTTATAGTTAGAGACTTATACTCCAACCACTTAGCTACTAGAAATTTTTGATAATAGTTTATAAATAAATTATATTTATATACAAATAAAAATATATATCTGTGTAAATATATAAATATAAAATATATAAATACAAATATATATATATATATATATATATATATATATATATATGTTGGATGTGAGGCGCGCTCGAGGTGAAAGTGTGTCGAGTAGATTTTTAAAATTTGATGTCAAATTTGTGAGTGGGTCTCTTTATATGAGTTTATAATTTCATGACACAATATAATCTTTATAATTTATTTATATAATGATATAAAATAATTTTTTTCTTTATTTATTTTTATTTTATTTTAATTTATTCTTCTTATATTTTATTCTTCTATTATTTAATTAAAATTCTTATATTAAAAAAAATTTCAATATTAAAAATAATTAAATATTTATTTTTAAAATTATTTAATTTAATAAATTATTATAAATTAATCTATGTATGATTATTAATAGAACAACTTTTCCTAACATATATTATTATAAATTAATCAAAATCATCTTTTAATAATTATTTTTTTCAGACATAGATTAATTCATAATAATTTGTTAAATTAAATAATTTTAAAAAATAATTTTAAAAATAAATATTTAATTATTTTTAATAATGAAAAATTATTTTAATATAAGAATTTTAATTAAATAATAGAAGAAGAAAAAAAAGATAAAAAGAATAAATTAAAATAAAATAAAAATAAATAAAGAAAACAATTATTTTATATCATTATATAAATAAATTATAAAGATTATATTCTATCATTAAATTACAAATCTATATAAAGAGACTCGCTCACAAATTTGACATCAAATTTTGAAAACTCACTCGACACACACTTTCACCCTCTAGCGTGATCCTCACATCGAACATATAAATATATAAATATATCAAAATATATAAATATATTTGTATTTATATATTTTATATTTATATATTTACACTGGATATATATTTATTTGTATATAAATATAATTTATTTATAAATTTTTATTAAAAAATTCTAACAGATTTAGTGGTTGGAGTATTAATATCTAACTCTAAAGTACTAGTTTTGAATCTTATTAGTAATAATTTTCTTAATCTGATTAAAAAAAATTGTTAATAAGAGAAATTATATATTTTTGTGGAAATTAGACCAATTAAATTGTTGTTATGGACTAAAACCCAAAAAGTAAAAAATAAAAAATATAATTAAATAAAAGAAAAACTATATACTTTTGCATTTTTATTTTCAAATACTAGTTTTTTTATGAAATTATTTTTAATTAAAATAATTAAAGTGATATATATATATAATTTTTTTTATTTTTTTTATTTTAATTTATTAATATTATCAAATTTTAGCTTCATGATTAAAAAAATACCAATAATTTAAATTTTATTAATTCTATAATTTTATATAATTATTATTATATATTTAATTCTCCAATAACTAATAATATTAATACATTTATTAAATTAAAATTCTTTATTTTAATTAATTATTTTGATTTTTTTAACAATTTTTTTAAATAAAAACGATAAAACTTAAAATTAATTTCTAACTAAATCTTAATAGTATATTATATTATTATGTTTAACTAAATTTTAAAATAAGTTCATTTAATTTTTACACTTTTATAAAAATACTAATATAAACTTAAAATATTTATCCAATTACTAAATTATTTAAAATATTAATATAAATTTGAAATATCAATTCAATAATTAAAATAATTTTAATTTTTTTATAAATACATTGAAATACATTTTTATTAACATAAAAGTATATATATATATATATATATATATATATATATATATATATATATATATATAAAAGAGACTAAATTAATAATTAATTTAATCATTGATTATATATATAAAAGAGATTAAATTAATAATTATTTTAATGATTGAATTGGTAACTAATTTAATAATTAATTTTAATTTTTTTATTTACATACTATATTACTAAATTATTTAATAAGTTAATAAACTATTTTTTAAATTTTTTATAATGTTATTAAAAATTTTATCAATTATTTTAAATTATTAAGTAGATTTATATTTAATATATTATTAAAATATTTTTAAAAATTATTTATATAAATAAAAAATAGTCACTAATTTATATATTATTTCATTAGTGAGCTGAAATTTTAGTCACTAAATCGAGTCACTATATATAAAAGAGAAATCGATCATCGATTCAGTTACTATTAGTAACTAAATTTTTCGGTCACTAATTTCAATCACTATTAACCATTTTTCTAGTAGTGACCGAATCAGTGAGCTGATTTTGTGACCGAATCAGTGACCGATTTTCGTGACTGAAATTTTAGTCACTAAATCAGTCACTAAATATAAAACGAAAATCAGTCACTGATTCGGTTACTATCGATGACTGAATTTTTCGGTTACTAATTTCGGTCACTATTAACTATTTTTCTAGTAGTGTAACAACCGATAAGGTGGTCGCTAAGGTGGTCGCTAAATAATTTGGTTACTTATTTCTTAAAGACCAAAATAACGACCGAAATTAATATAATAAATCTGGTCGTTAAATCGGTAGTAAAGTTATAAAAAAATAGCTACCAATATATTCCGTCGCTAATATATTAATTAAATTATTTAAATAATAATTAAAATTGGTCGCTAAATCGTCGCAAAAATAACGACAGAAATTAATATATTAAATCGGTCGCTAAATTGGAGGCAAAGTTAAAAATAATAGCAACCGATATATCGGTCGCTAATACATTAATTGTATTATTTAAATAATAATTTAAATCGGTCGCTAAATCAGCCGTAAAAATAGTCACGGAATAATTTTGGTCGCTAAATTTCAATTGTATATTATAGTATATTTGTAGCGACCAAAAATTCGGTCGCTAATCTAACCAAATCTGAAAATTTTTATTTAAAATTTTGTATATCCAATTTTGCAGAATTTGTACCTGCTTAATTGATCCAAATAGAACACAAATGAAAACTTAAAAAGTGACATAAAAATCATGAAAATTGTCACTTGTTGTCAGTAGATAAAAGTCTTAGTGAAGATAAATATCCTGGCGCTATATTAGAGTTTGAATTTGCAAAACATATGATGCAGACCACCAAATAATTGTGTAAGTAAACCCAATAATTATCCAATTTCCTTTCACTAAGATCCAACAGATAATTAAAATAAATTACAAATGGTTAACATGAGGGCGTATAGTCTCAACAAGTTCCCAAATTGGTCTGTCAACCACCACCAAATCCGCAGTAAGAGGGATCCAAGAACCTATCTACTTCACAAATCCACCTACAACAAACGATAAAGAAATCCTGTAAAAATTATCTCTCCTATATTATTCACAATGCAAGAGAATAACAGTATATAGTGCCACCTTTCTTGGGCCAAAGAAGTCAAACCTTGGTTGAATATATATTCAAGCACATGTTTTACATATAATCTCACGTACATAAGACAACAAAAATGCTAACGAAATCACATAGAAAAATTTGTTTAAATACAAATATATATATATATATATATATATATATATATATATATATATATATATATAAATATATTAGGAATCATATAGTTTTATAAATCTTATCATATCGATAATATTGGCTTACTAGATATTGACATCTCTCCCTTCTCTCTTTTTCATCTACTTTCCTCGTAGCATATACCACCAAAATAGAGAGATTGATTTTGATTCAAATTCATATAAAAAAATCACATACTTCTCCACTTGCGATGTTGATGATATATGGAGTGAATCTCATCCCAGCTGAACCTGAC